AGAGCCTTGGGAGGCACCACCGAAGCCACCAGATCCATGGGTGGCACTACCGAAGCCACCAGAGCCTTGGGAGGCACCACCGAAGCCACCAGAGCCATGGGTGGCACCACCGAAGCCACCAGAGCCTTGGGAGGCACCACCGAAGCCAGCAGAGCCATGAGTGGCACCACCATGGGCAAGAGTGGCCACAGGTCTACGGCCACCATGCAGGCCACTGGTGCCTTGACCATGAGGGCGGCGTCGACCACCGTAGGAGCCATGAGGACTGGCGGCCGCCAGGGAACTCAGCACCACCAGGAGCAACACCACACTGCCCTTCATCATCATGCTGTAAAAAACACCACTTTTACACTTACAATAATGTTATACAAAAATAATTAATTATATTATTTGGTGAATTATTATGTATGAAAAATATAATATCAGGTCCATTAAGACATGCTGATCCCTCTGGTCTTACCTACAGCTATAACCTACCAATGGCACATCTACTGACCTTGGGGCTTAATACTGAAGGTTTTATGTTTATTTGTCTTAGTTTAGGAGGAACCTAATATATGAAAACTGTTGCCAGATCACCAACACCAAACAACAACAGTCGGCTGGATGACCTGGTTCATGACTATACCCTCCAGCCCTCTGGCGGCCGAGGACTAAACCTTCGCTACTTCAGGTACTGCGTCTGTCACTATCAAGGTACACACTTTACAGACAATGTCTTATTACTTTACAATAGTTGGATTAACTTCTAAGTTAAAGACATTTACTTAAGGTTGATGTTGTTGTGGATATATAACTCCTCACCTTGTTGTGTTGAGAGCCACAAGTGTTGTGAGCAGTAACACGCCAGCCAGCCTTATATACCCCGCCCGCTTCTCTGCTCACCCGTAACACTGTACAGAAAATGCTTCCGGGAAATCGCAATAGTTGCCGGCGGCCACGAGGGAACAATCTTGGTATGGGATTATGTCTAATATTACCCAGAGTTGATACTGAAGTATATAAATTAACATTATTGTCATTAACAACTTTATTAACACGAATTAGATAAATTTAACCAAAATATATGTTTTCCAATTATATAATAATTTTTCAAACCGAAAATAAGTTCTAGGAAACTTTTCAGGTGATACAAACTAACGTGTCTTAAAGAAGGTTTACCAGGTATTGCAGGTGAGGAAACCCCAACTTACCCCGTTCATTATCGTCTTCTTCTTCTTGAACAACTTCTATACGTATATGTCCACTAAATATAAAGGTATCTTATACTGACCACACCTCGGCCATCCCCAGCAGCGAGAGGTGAGGTCACGGCTTACTTAGTAAATAACAATACATTATGTCGCCTTGTTGAGTTCCAAACCTGACCATCACCTTCCATAGTTACCATTAACAGACGACTGTAAACAAAACTCTTTCGTTACTATCAACTTGAGCCAAAGATCTACACATTCCTTTAGTTTTATTGTATATTGCTCACTCCTTCCCATATCAACCTGAGGCACCACGCGAAGCGCGTACCCTGAGGGTATGACTTCCGTAATGGTTTACTTATTGTGTGTTCCGTTTGTTTGTTTTCATCTTTCCTGTTTGTTTGTCCGGGCGATGTCTCAGGTAATTTGTGAGCTGTGAAGCTGAAATTTGTGCACAACACTGTAGTGGCCAAGTGTTTCGGCATGTGTGTTGATGTCATGACACGGGTGGCGATGTGCACTGAACCAACCACTACTTGTTTATAACTTAATATATATTATTACTCAAACCTATCAGGCAGGTAACATTAATGCTCCAGGGTCAGGCAGGTAACATTAATCCTCCAGGAACAGGCAGGTAACATTAATGCTACAGGATCAGGCAGGTAACATTAATGCTCCAGGATCAGGCAGGTAACATTAATGCTCCCGGATCAGACAGGTAACAATAATCCTCCAGGATCAGGCAGGTAACATTAATGCTCCAGGATCAGGCAGGTAACATTAATGCTCCAGGATCAGGCAGGTAACATTAATGCTCCAGGATCAGGCAGGTAACATTTATGCTGCAGGATCAGGAAGGTAACATTAATGCTCCAGGATCAGGCAGGTAAAGATAATGCTCCAGGATCAGGCAGGTAACAATAATCAGGTGTAATTAAGGTATTCAGCTTCATTTCATTAGTTCAGAAAAGTAAATTTGTTAACTAATCTTCAACAGTCTTCTAAATGTACTGTTACTTAATCTTCAGTTGTAAAGAGCAACTAATCTTCACTATTTTATAAATTAAAAACTAGTTAACTAATCCTCACTGATAACTTATCTTGTAAACGCCTTCTGAGCGTTTAAGGAATGATCAGACGTCACGTTGAACTATAACGTTATAATTCGGTCAAACCTGTTGAATACAATCCATTCTTAGTACAGTATATTCACATAACAATCATAGCTATGTAATTAGTCTAATCTTAACACTTATAATGAGTGCCTAATTTGCCATGTTTCTACGTTGTCACAATCATAACCGATGCAATGGACACAGTCTACCTGTCTAAACTTAAGTACAAGTTAACTTACGTGTTAAAAGTCTCAAGAGAAACAGGTTAGGTGTTGACTCTATGATGGGGATAGCTACAGGTACAGTGGCAGTGTAGCCAGTGGCCTGCCCGGCGTCACATGTCCAGTCCTAGCTGGCCGACTTTGCTGCGTCAGGCGTTTATACACAAACAAGCTCCCCTTACTACCACCCAACACCCGAACCTCCTCTGGGTCTCTCCACCAGCTCAATACCCTATATACGGGCAGGCACACCAATAAACATGACATGACTTACAGCCTAACATAATGTTTCTTTATGTGTCATCCAACTCATTACTGCTTGCGGTAACTAATCTGGTCTGCCAATCTTTCCTTTTATTATATTATATATTAATGTAGAATTCACTTAAGGATAAATGGTTTAATTAATCATTACTTCACTTCTTAAAACTTGTTAACTAATCAACTAACATAAGTCACCTTTACCTGCCCCATAATAAACAAACACCTGCACTGTAATCAACTAATTCTTATCTTTATTAAGTTTGTCTAAAAATAATTTACCTTTGTTTACGTTAGTAATATAAAATGTATTTAATTCATCTCAATTTATGATTTAAAGTTTCTTTTTTAATGATCGATTACTAAAAGTCATATTCCAATTACTAACTAAAATTTTTTATCCTCAAGTCGCTCTGAACTCTAAGCAAATGTCTTGTATTAAATGGTAAAGTCTTATCAAATGTTCCCGTCTATACAAAGGAAACATTAATTCAAGTTTTTATTGCTGTCGTGTCTGGAGATGTGTGTATCGCAGGCGGTTGTTCTCATTACTACTAACTTGTCTTACGAAGGAAACTTATTTTACTATGGATCGTGTAGTGTTGGTGGTTCAATGACACAGAGTAAGCCAGGAGTACCTGGGAGGAGGTGCACACCAGCCAGAGGTACCTGGCAGCAAAGAGGTATCTTGAGTGTTCGAGGAAAAATGGGAGTGTCAGAGGTACCTGGGAGCATCGGAGGTACCTGGGAGGATCAGAGGTACCTGGGAGTATCAGAGGTGAACCTGGGAGTGTCAGAGGTGTAGCTGGGAGTGTCGGAGGTGTAGCTGTGAGTGTCTGAGGTAACTGTGAGTGTCTGAGGCCTGGGAGGCCAGAGGTACCTGGGAGTGTCAGGGAGGCAGATGGCCTGGAGGCCTGGAGGCACCTGGGAGTGTCTTGAGGTGTACCTGGGAGCCATTGCTTGTACCTGGGAGGTCAGAGGTACCTGGGGGGCCTGGAGGCCTGGGAGAGGCCAGAGGTGTACCTGGGGAGGCCACGGCACCTGGAGTGTCACACACCTGGAGCCAGAGGCACCTGGGGCACCGGAGGTGTACCTGGGAGTGTTAGAGGTGTACCTGGGAGTGCCAGAGGTGTACCTGGGAGGTCAGAGGCCTGCCAAAGTGTCAACAGGCACTGGGAGTGTTAACATTGTACCTGGGAGTGTCAGGGGTGTACCAGGGAGTCCGTGAGTACCTGGTAGTGTGGGAGAGGTGTCACCTGTGAGTGTCGAAGGCTGTGTGTTATGGAGGCTCAGAGGCACCACAGTGTCAACGGTGTACCTGGGAGGTCTGGAGATGTACCTGGGAGTGCCGGAGGTGTAACTGGTCGGAGGTGTAACTGCGGAGTGTCTGAGGTGTACCTGGGAGGTGAGAGGTGCGTACCTGGCAGTCAACGTGGCCATGGGAGTGTCAGAGGTGTACCTGGGAGTGTCAGAGGTATACCTGGGAGTGTCTGGAGGTACCTGGGAGTGTCTGAGGCACCAAGGCTGGGTTGTACCTGGGAGTGTTGGGGAGGCACCTGGGGGTATGGAGGTGTACCTGGGAGTGTCGAGAGAAACTGGGAGTGCCGAGGTAACTGTGAGTGTCAAGGTGTACCTGGGAGGTCAGGAGGTGTAATCTGCCAGTGTCAGAGGTGTACCTGGCAGTGTCAGGAGGTGCACCGGGTGTCTGAGGTGCACCTGGAGGCTCTGTGTACCTGGGAGCATCGAGGCACCTGGAGTGTCAGAGGTGTACCTGGGAGCACTCAGAGGTGTACCTGGGAGTGTCAGAGGTAGCTGGAGTGTCAGGAGGTGTAGCTGTGAGTGTCTGAGGTGTAACTGTGAGTGTCTGAGGTGTACCTGGGAGTGTCAGAGGTGTACCTGGGAGTGTCAAAGGTGTACCTGGAAGGTCAGGAGGTGTACCTGGAAGTCAGAGGTGTACCTGGAGGCCTGAGGCAGGCACCTGGAGTGTCAGCGGTGTACCTGGGAGTGTCAGGGGGTGTACCTGGGAGTGTCAGTGATGTACCTGGGAGTGCACCAGAGTGTCATTGTTGTACCTGGGAGGTCAGAGGTGCCTGGGGTATTGGAGGTGCACCTGGGAGGCTAGGAGGTGTACCTATGTCAGTGTACCTGGGAGGTCAGAGGTGTACCTGGGAGGTCAGGGGTGTGCACCAGGGAGTGTCAGTGGAGCACCTGGGAGGTCAGAGGTGCACCCTGGTGTGTCGAAGCAGACACATGGAGTCTCAGAGGTGTACCTGGCAGTGTCAACGGTGTACCTGGGAGTGTCTGAGATGCACCTGGGAGGCCGGAGGTGTAGCTGGGAGGTCAGGAGGTGTTCCTGGGAGGTCAGAGGTGTACCTGAGGCCAGAGGTGCACCTGGGAGGCCTGAGGTACCTGGAGTGTCGGAGGTGCAACTGGGAGTGTCGGAGGTGTAAATGTGAGTGTCTGAGGTGTACCTGGGGTGGAGAGGTGTACCTGCAGCAGTCAACGTGCACCTGGGAGTGCCAGAGGTGCCTGGGAGAGTGTCATTGTTGCACCTGGGAGTGTCAGGAGGTGTACCTGGGAGGCCGAGGTGGCACATGGGGGTCGGTGTACCTGGGAGTGTCGGGGAGGCGAAACTGGAGTGTCTGAGGTAACTGTGAGTGTCTGAGGTGCACCCAGGAGTGTCAGAGTGTGCACCTGGGAGGCCAGAGGTGTACCTGGGCACAGAGGTGTAGCTGGAAGTGTCAGGAGGTGTGCCCTGGAGTGTCTGAGGTGTACCTGGGAGGTTGGGGTGGTGTACCTGGGAGGTCAGGGGTGTACATGGGAGTGTCAGTGATGCACCGGGAGGTCTGAGGTGTACCTGGGAGGCCTGAGGTGTACCTGGGAGGTTCACAGAACATGGAGGTCAGGAGGTGTACCTGGCAGTGTCGGGCGGTGCACCTGGGAGGTCAGCGGTGTACCGGGAGGTTGGGGCACCTGGGAGGACCAGAGGTGTACCTGGGAGGTCAGAGGTACCTGGGAGTGTCTGAGGTGGGCACCTGGGAGCGTCAAAGGTGTACCTGGAGTGTCAGGGGTGTACCTGGGAGGCTGGCTGCTGCACCTGAGTGTCAGAGGTGCACCTGGGGTATCGGAGGTTTCACCTGGGAGGTTAGGAGGTACCTGGGAGGTCAGAGGTGCACCACCTGGGAGGTCAGAGGTGTGGGCCTGGGAGTGTCAGGGTGTACCAGGGGAGGTCAGTGGAGTAGTTGGGGGATACCAGAGGTGTACCTGGGTGTGTCGAAGGTGTGCCATGGAGGTCAGGAGGTGTACCTGGCAGTGTCAACGGTGCACCTGGGAGTGTCTGAGATGTACCCCGGGAGTGTTGGAGGCGTGAACTAGGGAGTGTCGGAGGTGTAATCAGAGTGTCTGAGGT